AACTCCCGTGCACAATGACCCCGGTAACAGGTCCCACCTCGGACCTCTCAGCCCGAAAAATAGAAAAATGTCGAAATAGCAACCAATGCATTTCCAAGAGTCCTGAACTCAAAGAAATATCGTAACTAACACTCTAACACACCCAGCACACCCCATGGTATCCAGCACGTAAAACGAGAAAAGACGAAAATACCCTCAAAAAATCAAAAAAAATTCAAAAAATGAAAAATGTCGAAAATCGGAAACATTACATTTCTAAAGCCTATATCCTTTGGTTTTTGTGAGTTAACTTCCTTGTATTGTGTTTATAGCATGTTAAATTGCGAACTTTGTTTATAGTTATTAGGGTTTTTATATGTAAAGCATGATAACTGTATTCTATGCGGTAAATGTGTTGATTTGCTTGTTTAATTGAAGTATTGTAAAGATGTATGTTTGAATTAATTGACTACATGCTTTATATGTTTAAAATGTTATGGTTGTGTAGTTGATAACATGAGAATTGTTGTATTACCTACTTCCAAAGCATGCAAGTATGATGGTAGTTAATGTATGAGTTTCATATTGGCATGATGTTGCAATACATGAAACATTCATGCATTAGTATTTGGTGAGGAAAAAGGAAAATTTGTTTTCAAAAGAGAAATTGATTTTAAAAGGTTTTAAAAGAAATTTTGCGAAAATTGGATGGCAAGGAGTTACCTTATCTATGTGACGTTAATGGAACCTAAAGGGAACGTAGGTAGACTGCCCTATGCGTGATTGAGTTACCTAGGCCCCAAATAACGCTAAGGAGTTACCTTAGGTCAAGGATAGTTAACCAATCCTTCTCTCATGGCGCCGGGGAATCACCTCCGACCAGGTTACATTTACAGTTTGATGGTTGTTGTGTTGGTAAAGATTTTGGAAATTGGGTTAGACATTGACATTGTATTGCATTTTATTGATTATGTTTGGATTCATATGATGGTGATTATTTGGTCTATTCTCCTTAAATTAACCATACCCTTTTTCTATACCCCATTCCTTGTATGTGATTCACTTGATCATTAAGGAGTAAGTTTTAAGCACCTCCCACTGGCCGTTGTGTTCACCCCTTTACTATCATTTTTCAGGAATCGGGAAATAGGTCATTAACGACCCTCATCCTCTTATGTGATGACACTTGAGAACCTTATTTTGTAGACTAGACACTTAGTCTTTTGAATCATGTAATATTTAACGTTTTAAGATATGTAATGATGAATGTATTTATTTTGTCTCCAAATTGTATCCAATGGCTACTTGAATTCGTTTTGTGGTTAGAGATGGTTTCGAGACCATTCTTTTGCATTTTGCAGTCTTATTAGGAATTTCTAATCCTTTTGTAAAGCCATATGCCATGTTATGATGTAACCGTATCCATTTTGATCATATATAATGTACCAAGCTCATTTAATGATTATTAGGATGTTTAATTACATTGTATACAATCAAATTTAAGTTTTTGAGGCATATTTAGACTATGATTAAGGTTACAAATGGACCAAGTAAGAATGTCGGGGACTTAAACCATCAACCAACCTTTAAGGCATAAGAGACACAAACCGATCAATGTGTGGGGTATCAAGCATCGACCGGTATCTCAATATAACCAAATTTCAAGTGCAGAGCCAAACCGGTTTACCAATTTAGCTGAACCGGTCGACATTTGACCTGTACAAGTCAACCAATTCCTATTGTTTCCCATTTTCATCTATTCTCCTCCTTTGTCCATTTTTGGCTAATCCGGAGGATGTACTAATTACATTCTAACCTTGGAAAATGACTGTATTGCCCTAAATGACCTCAGGTTTGGTTAAGGACCTGGATAATGGTTTGGACCCCCGGGTTTGGGTCGTGACAATAACATAGTTTCATCAAGAAACATAAAGGCATCATTTCAACTTCTAAATCATCAATTTGCGCATATTTAAGCATAGAATCAAAACAAGAAACTCAAAATGAAGGCAAAGCAAAATTAATTAAACACCCCTACCTCAAATGATGTAACTCAAACTCCTAGATCTAAAACTTGAAATCCACCCAATGTGTGCAAGACCGATATAAAAACATAGCCCTTGTCGAGTAGAGCCAACTTCCCTTCTTGCTCTTTGTCTAAATCTTACCCCAAGTGGATCAAATCTCTAGGTTTGTGTGTGAAATGGTAGAAAATGGAAAAAAGAAAAAATGAGGAGGGAGAGAGAGTGGACGAGAGAGAGTGTGGGAGAAATGAGATTTTGGTCATAAGTTGACCCTATCCTCATTCAAAATAAGCGGCCTACATTGGGTCAAAAGTTCACCCAACACTCAAATACCAAAAATGCCCTCTAAGGCTCGCTTATTCACTTGCCATGCCACAAAATATCATATCCCACCAAAAGTCACATATAAACATACATATGTATACACATATATAACACATTATCACATAAACTAATAAATACATGCAAATGGAAAACAACACTGGGACCCACATGGCACGCAAAATAATTTATGAAAAAATAAATAAATATAAATATAAAAAATTCTAGAAAAATCCGAGACATTACAAACGCCCTTGTTCCCTACCCAATTACACCCTCACGAATGGCTCAATCATCACCGTCAGGTCCAGTCTAATGTTTGATGCATAGAACCTCAGCAGCACTGCACGTGATGCCGGTGAATGAGATGAAGATAAGCTTCTCAATTGCTAGGAGCATCAATAGAGAGTATGATCAACTTAAATTTTTTTTTTGCCAAAGGTAAGTTTCCAACAATCTAATTACATACTTGCTATACATAAACATTTGATCTTCTGCTATACAATGGAATAAATAATTTAATGGTATGCTGAAGAAAGGCACAATCTTTGCTTGGTTTATTACTGTGACAAATCAGAAAATTTGGATATGGACTAATCCTATTTCTTTAAACTACAGTAGGAGTAGAGAATTAGGCCATTTTTAGAGTACAGAGAGCACATTTTTGTCTTCTAATTATAATGTAAAACTGATTGAAGCCTTTATAGCCCGTTTGGACCACTAGGGGGCCAAACGGGTATGCTGAAAGACTTTCTGGGTTGATCCCGAAGTGTCTATTTTTTACCCGACATGAGAGTTTTTTTGACTGGAAATGGTTCAATGAGCAAGACTCACCACTACGCCGTGACGTAACCTGTTTTTCAATGAAATACCATCGTTTAGGGCCTCAAGACGAGATTTTTCTGTCTTATAGGAAGCCTGCAGAATATTAAAAAAATTTGTTTGTTGTCTAAACGAACTCGGATTGTATTCATTTTTTGATTTAGTAGTTTTATTTTATTAGGTTTCTTTCTCTATTTTCTCATCATTTTAGAGAAACACTATTTTTAATCTTATTTTTGAGTATTAATATCCTTTCAGGATTAGGTTTTTGTATTTAATTTGGATTCATGTTACAATTAGTTTCCTTTTGAATCATTTAATCATAATAGTAATATAATATCAGATTTCTCTGAAGTTATTTCTTATTTTATGAATTCAAGACTCCTTACTTTGTAGATTCAAATTAACTCGTTTCTTGTGAACAAATTTATGGCTACTACTTACGTCAAATTAAATTTACCCTGCATGTAACTTGGGCCTTTTACTACAAGAGCCCGGATTCTCTCCTGTAATTCTTGTGCTTTAATCGTGTTATATACTTTTCAACACAAAGAATTTTAACAAACTATAATTGACTGAAAAAAAAGATGTAAATGTGATGAAATAGATTTAATGGTGTTAAAAATTACTATAACGGCACTACATGGAACACCAAAATTTATGACACATGATTCGGGCGCTTGTTGCAAAAAGTGGTAATTTAAGAACTTTTGTTGTAAAAAATTTAGTTATGAGGTTACATGCAGTTGGAGACTGTTTATTGCAATTAACCCTAAATATATATATATATATATATATATATATATGTATATTAAAGTTTATATAGATTTAACACATTTATAAAGATTTAACACATTTTTGTCTTTTAATTGAATTTACCCCGCAGGTAATTAACTTAGGCCTTTTACTACAAGAGCCTGGATTCTCTACTGTAATTCTTGTGCTTTAGTAGTGTTATATACTTCTCAACACCATGATTTTTAACAAATTATATTTGACTGAAAAAAATAGCCGTAAAGGTGTTGAAAATTGAATTAATAGTGTTAAAAATTACTACACTGCCACTATAACACCAAACTTTATGACACAGGATTCGGACGCTTGTTGCAAAATGTGGTAATTTGAGAATACTTTAGTAAAAAAATTTAGTTTTGAGGGTACATGCAATTGGAGACGGTTTATTGCAGTTAATCCTTAATATATATACCTTTTAAAGTTTATATAGATTTAACACATTTAATTGGAGACGCTTAATTTGTAATTTCAACACATTTATTTTTAGAATTCCATAAACACACTAAATGAAGTCGTTTTCACTAGTACAACAGGAAAGGATTCCAAATTCCAATCCAATGATGTAAAACCCTTATATATAACAACAGGGATGACTTCTAAACATACTTAAGTCACCATACTCCCAATTAGCCCACCAAATTGGAAAGTACAATACAATCCATCAAGTATCAATAATCATATTGCAATCCTATTTTAGAAAACGTAGTGCGTATGACTATAAATAATTTTTATTATTTATATATATATAAAAATTTCCAACACGAGAGAGCCGTGTGGACACAAATTCATGTAAGAAAAGTAAGGTAATTTCGATCAAGAGGCATTGACTGTGAAGATGAGGGGAGGTAAGAGTATTTAAGTTTGTGAAATGTGTATATGTAGATATAGTTGTATGAAACATTTTTTGGTAAGATATATTATCTATTTGGTGGTCTCTTCTCCTTCTCACTCATTTTTTTTGTTAATTGAGATTTAATGAGGGACAGTGGCACCTTAACAAGACCATGGTTCTTCCTATGTTTTCTGATCCTGTTCCTGTTACACAAGCCCGGTTTCTCTATGGGAGGTGATACGCTTTCAATGGATCAGTCTCTCTCAGTAGGTCAGACCCTGGTGTCTCAAGGTAGCATTTTTGAATTGGGTTTCTTCAGTACTTCAACTAACACCTATCTTGGCATATGGTATAAAAGTTTTACTGCACAGATTATAGTTTGGGTAGCTAACACAGAACAAATGTTTTCTTATCCGTCTTCTGCAAACCTTGCATTCTCTAGAGATGGTAATTTAGTCCTGCTTACCAATTTTTCTAGAAATCAAATTTGGTCAACAAATTTTGTGTCACCAACGCCAAACTTCACTGAAGCAGTGCTTCAAGATGATGGAAATTTTGTAGTTAGAAATGTTATAAATCCATCTAAAATATATTGGCAGAGTTTTGATCACCCAACAGATACATTGCTGTCTGGTGCAAAGCTTGGCATTAATAAACATACGGGCAAAACTCAGGTCCTAACTTCGTGGAAAAATTCAGAAGATCCTACTCCAGGTAGGTATTCATTCGGGATAGATCCAGATGAAAGAAATCAATATTTTATAGGGTGGAACAAGTCCAGAAGGTATTGGAGCACTGGAGTTTGGAATGGGGATATATTTAGCTCTGTTCCTGAATGGGGGAATTCTTTATTCCGTACCAATTTTATATCAAATGAAAACGAAAGCTACCTCACATATTCTAATCTGAATACTTCTGTGTTACTAAGATTTGTGATGACTATGTCAGGACAACTCAGGATTGCAGCATGGTTTGGTGGCCATTGGCATTCGGGTTATTTTTGGGCTCAACCCCTCCCTGGTCAGGTTTATGATTTTTGCGGGACATTTGGCATATCTAAAGGCAATCTCTCGATGTTAACCTGTGAATGTTTGCAAGGTTTTGAGCCATACTCAATTGAAGACACAAAGCTAAATGATTGGTCAGATGGTTGTGTGAGAAAGACACCATTGCAGTGCCAAAATGGTACTTATACCAATGGGATGACCGATAGATTTTTGAAAATTCAAAACATAAAATTGCCAGAAAATTCAATAGTACTTCTTGATAGGAGCCTTAGCTTGCATGGAAAATTGCTTTTGCACAGCTTATGCTTATAATAGCAGTGGATGTTTAGTATGGGAAGGGGATTTACTGAATCGGCAACAACTCTCAGATGGAAGCAATACTAAACAAGATCTCTCTCTCAAATTAGCAGCTTCTGAGATTCCAAATGCTCGAGGTATGTGGCTGCAAAATGCAATAAATAAACGTGACTTCTACTCAATAATGATTGTCTTTCTGTAAATTATATAGTATTTGTGTTTTGAATTGTGATTCTAGCATATGCCCATTTCAGGTGACAGGAAGCACTTGAAGGTGATCATAACAGTGCCGGTTTCGCTAACAGTATTTATGTCTGGTGGCTCATGTGCTATCTAATCTGGAGAAAGCTCAAACAAAAGGGTATAAGTTGTTGCCACAAAAGTTTGAGCCCATATTTAAAAGCAACATTTAAGGATACATATATTAGAATTGACTTGGATTAAGCGTGTACCACAAATTGTAAACTTCAGGAGCTTAGTGTCTTTCAGAAATTGTGATTTCCATATAACTGACAATGGCTTGTTGTTCTGCTATCAACAGGAGAGGAAGATTCAAGTGAGGACTTATTATTATTTGATTTTAGTGCTAGTGCTAATGCAGCTGCTGAGACAAACATTGGAAATAATCTATCGAGAACTGGGAAGAAGGATGTTGAGTTGCCATTGTTTAGCTTTGCGAGTGTCTCTACCGCAACGGGTAACTTCTCCATAGCAAATAAGCTCGGAGAGGGAGGTTTTGGACCTGTTTACAAGGTAAGGTTAAAGATATAAACTAAAGTGTTTTTCCTTAGAACCAATGACAATTTGGGAACCCTCCAAAATTAATGTTGAAAACTATTCATTTTGACTTTAATCATATTATTTAGTGAAATGATTGGCCTCTCTTGTCCTCAAACAGGGTAAATTAGTCAAGGGACAAGAAATAGCTGTGAAAAGGCTTTCGGGAAGATCTGGACAAGGGCTCCAGGAGTTCAAAAATGAGACAATATTGATAGCCAAACTCCAGCATCAGAATCTTGTTAAACTCTTGGGTTGCTGCATTGAGCCAGATGAAAGCATATTAATCTACGAATATATGCCCAATAAAAGTTTGGATTTCTTCCTATTTGGTAAGTGTTTTTCTGTATTTAATCTATGTTTAAATTTAGGTATATGTTCAATATGATCATTATAGTATAATTCAAGGCAGATCCAAACCAACAAGGAATATTAGATTGGACGACACGCATTCGCATCATTGAAGGGATTGCTCAAGGACTTCTTTACCTACATCAATATTCAAGGCTTCGAATAATTCATAGAGATCTAAAGGCCAGTAATATTTTGTTAGATAGTGAAATGAAACTCAAAATATCAGATTTTGGCATGGCAACAATTTTTGGTGTTAATGAATCACAAACAAGCACAAACCGTATTGTTGGAACTTAGTAAGTAAAAGAAAACTCCTTTGTTAACACATAAACAACTTATATATAATACATTAGAGAAGATCTTGTTGACCTTAAGGATTTCATCCAATAACAATCTAGGTGTTTTGATGATAACGAACCATTAATGGTGTTTAAGGACTAATGTTTACATTGAGTGTTATATAGATTATTCACATTCAAAGAATGACCTCAATGAAGCACCAAAGATCATTCAAAGTATTCCATTATTCAAGATCACATAAAGGAAAGAAATGGATACAATGAAGACATGAAGTTGTAAGGAACAAAATGCAATGTCCAAAGGTAGTTTGGACTTCAATGAGCAAGAAAGCAACTCAAAGGAAGAAAGAAAGCAATACTACCTCAAGCCTAAACGATCATGGACAATGCATGAAGAAAAGGGGTAGATAGAATGGTGAGTGTTTTGGATTCAATGTCAAAGTATTTATGAATCCATTTGAAGCTCATCTCTATAGGATCATGCATATTATCATCATTCACATATTCCTATATCCTTAGTAATAGACTTTGCACTTCATTCATAGATATTGTCATATGAAGTCTTTGCTAAGAAAGGGTTAGTTCAAGCTTGTATAAGCTTTGAAAGAACTCACAACTTAAGCTAGAAATGCTAGGACCATGCACATTAATCATAAGATTTACTTTGGTGTCTAGAAAGAAAAGGAAAAGGCATTGAACTTAATATTTCATCTTTAAAGCCTTTGTTGCCATAATTTGGTAAATGACTCTAGGACACAATGCACTTGAAATTTATCATCTCCATATGTCCCTAGACTCTTAGAAATAGGTCTTGAACTAAATTGAACCATTCATCAAAGTCCTAGGTGCTAAAAAGATGGTTATCTCAAAAGAAGCAATTTACAGCCCAAAAGAATTTCAGACCAGCCTATACTAAAACTACTATAACTATTTTTGTAGTTGGAGTTTTTAAGTAAGTCTAGGTGCATTATAAAGCTGACTTCGAGCTCTTGATTTTAGACTCAAATTTCACCTCATTTGGAGTTTCATGGACTGAGTTATATTCATTTGAAGTCATGCTATTTTCTGTCCAATTCAAAATTAGGAGCAGCTCATTTCTGTCAATTGGAGCCGCCTCCCATTTTATAGGAGCCGGCTTTGGGACTCTAGTAGGCGTAGAACCCATTTTTTCATATACGAGCCGCCTCCCATTTTTATTGGAGCCGCCTCCTAAATATAGGAGCCTGCTCTTTGCACTCCAGTAGCCAAAACTTATGTCGTAGAATGCATTTCATGGATTGGAGCCACCTCCCAGTTATTGGAGCCGCCTCCCATTTATTGGAGCCTCCTCCAATTTTTTAAAAAGCCGGCTCTTCTAAGGAATTTGAATCTCCAACGACTGTTTTGACCATTTGTCTTCATGGGACTTTACATTCTTGCCCCCAAACGGCTATAATCTTCAATGGGGCTATAAATACATAATGTTTGGACATTGTAGAAAAAATGCAAGAGAGCCAATACTTGAGAGACCTTATTAGGCATTAAAGAGAGCTTTTGTTCTCACATTTTCTCTTCATCTCTCTCATTCATTTATATACTTACTTGAGAGATTCAACCAAGGATTCAAAGAGCTTTTGCTCTATTCCATACTTAAAAGATCCTATTGAGTTTTAAGAGCTTTTATTCTTCACTTACATCATCTTCTCTCAATCATTTCATTCATAGAGTTTGAGCTTCACTTATATTCATCAATACTCTAGTTGTGAGCTAAAATTTGTACATCTATCTTTGAGAGATTTCTTGTACTTCTTGTATGTGTTACTATCTATTGTAAGGGTTGGTTTGACCCACCGGGTTGGTGTGACCCAAAGGAAGACTAAGGGAAGGTTGTTCTCTTAGCAAGCTAAAGCAAGGAGTTGCTTCATGTAAAGGTTTGCTCTCCACCCGTAAGGAGAAGTCGTAGTGGATTGGGAAGTCTCAAGAGGGGTCTTGAGCCGAGGAGTAGGAGTTTCTGAACCTCGCTAAAATCGCCGAGTCATTGTTTGCAATTTCTCTTCCCTATCTCTTTTACTTTTATGCGTTGATTTGATTATCTAGTTCATTTGGTTATTGCATAATTATTTTAAGAGACTAGATAGTAATCATATTTATAAATTGCAAAAAAAAAAAAATAAAATAAAAAAAATAAAATAAAAAAATAAAAAAATTGGCCATTGACTCTATTCACCCCCCCTCTAGAGTCAATCCTTGGGCAACAATTAGTATCAGAGCCTAAAATCTATTAAAGGACTTAACCATCTTAGAGTACGATCATGGCCAACAATAGTAGTATCACACACTTAGAAGGTTATCCCATTGATAAACCACCTTGTTTTGATGGAAATGATTATATCTATTGGAAAATTAGAATAAGAGCTTTTCTAAAAGGTATTAATATTGACTCATGGAAAGCTATTGAAAATGGTGATCATATCCCAACTAAAGTTATTGAAGGTATGAAAATCCTAAATAAAAAAGTGAATGGGATGAAAATGATCATAGATTAGTTCAATGTAATGCTTTAGCCACATGTTATCTTTATTGTGCATTAAGCAAAAATAAGTTCAACAAAATTATCTTTTGTAAAACGGCTAAAGAAATTTGGAACTCACTTGAATTAGCATATGGAGGATCAATTAGTGGTAAGGAATCATATATGCCTATGCTTATTGAAAAAGATGTATCTTCCATCATAAATGAAAATGAATCAAGTTGTGAGATGCATTCTTGTTCTTCTAACATTACTAATCATTTGAATTTTCTTAGTAGGACTTACTCTTCTTCTTATAGTGAAGAAAATGAAGCAACTCAAAAGATGAGTATAGTTCTCCAAGCGTCTAGCAGAGAAGCAAATGGCATCAAAGAGTTGGACAAACTTTGTCTCATGGCCAATGAAGATGAGGTAGATTCTAATCAGAATTTTTTTGATTTAGAAGCCTCTTATAATGAACTAGTTGATGCACACAATGAATTACTTGATGCATTTAAAGAGTTACAAAGTGTGCTAGAAAAGGTGCTTGTTAAATGTGCTTCATTTAAAAAGGAAAACCTTGATCTCTCTCAAAGACATGAAAAAGTTCAAATGGAAAATGACTCTCTGAAAAAGGAAAATCATTATCTTGTGCAAGAATTAGAAAAGATTCAAATTAAAAATGAGTCTTTAAAGAAAATCATTAATGATCAAAATGACATATTAGTAAAGTGTACCAAAGAAAAGGAACACTTGAGTACTATGCCTAGTAATCAAAGAAATGTCTTTTACAAAAATGAGATTGTATATGATCCTTATATTAAAGATGCATATTTATTGAAAAAGAGAAAGTTCTTAAATGATTCATTGGACAAAAGTTCTTTTCAATATCCTACATGAAATTATTTTGGACATATAATTCAAAATTGTCCATTTAGAAAGAGGATAAAGACTAAGAGGATTTGGGTTTCAAAAGGAACTTATGTTCCATTGCCTAACTTATATGGACCCAAAAAGATTTGGGTACCAAAAGGAGAATATGTAACCTTTCCTTGTAGGGTTACTTGATTTCATCTTCTTGATTAAAGGATTACGAAGGAAGCATCTCTCCTTGGAAGAACTCCAAAGGCAAGGTAATCGGTAAATGCTAAAGGATATTTTCATACTCAAAATTGCTTGTCTATATACTTCCATGATATGTTGAAATCATCTATGAGCATCAAAAATGAAAATGTATTCTATATGAAGAATCCTTGAAATGAGAATTATACTAGACCATTGAAGATTATGTGCATTATAGAATTTTTATCTTCTTGGTACAATTACTCATTATTTATGCAATTTGTCTTTATACATGCCCTCATTGATTGTAAAATAATTGTTCATGTATTACATTATTTGAAATTGCATTTGAAGATTTTCACTTGAATTCAAAGAAAATCACTTTAAAAAGTGTGAATCTTAAGAAGGAACTTACCTTCCCATAAGCTAACACTCTTTGAAAATGAAATTTATCTTTGGAAAGGAAAGCTCTTCTTTAATTGTTGAATCCTTCAAGGATTTAAAAAATGGGGCACTTAATTCATTTTTTGCCTACTTAAGAAGAATCTTATTCTTCATATCAATTCTTAAATTTGATCATGGATAATGCACATGGAATTACGTTATGATCCATTTATGAAATTATGCCTTCCACTCAATTGTTACTCATTTCATATACGTTCTTTGGATTGTATTTTGCCATAAGCATACATACATATTGAATTGACAAATGCACTAGCATGCAAAATGATTTAAATTAGCATGTTGAGTTAACATGAACTCTTCTAAGGATTAAAACTCCTTAAGCATCATAAAAATAAAATTTATATATCTATTTGACAATTTAGTCTCGGGAATAAGATTATTCAAATAACATTTTGTTCTAGCTTAGATGACAAATGTGATAATTCAAGTGTAATATGCATTTCTAAAAATCTTATTCAGCATTTAAGGTCAAAGCATATAGAAATTAGGTACCATTTTCTCAGGGATCATGTTTCTAAGGGCGACATTGATCTTATAGTTGTGAATACGAAAAACAATTGGCTGACATCTTCACAAAACCACTCCAAGAGGATAGATTTTGTTTACTCAGAAGGAAAATTGGTATGATCACAGAGCAGAATGTCATGCAGTGAAGTAGCAGTAGCAGAGCCGACTCTAATCTAAATAAGAGCCGCCTCTATAAAGAATAAGAGCCGGATCAACAAAATTCATGAGCCAGCTCCCCAAACCTGCATACAAACATTATGTCTCAGGATCTTTCAAAAGCTCAAAAGAGCCGGCTCCAAAAAAACTCCAAGAGCCGGCTCCAAAAGAAATTAAGAGCCGGCTCCAATTTTCCTTGAGCCGGCTCCAAAAACTAAGAGCCGGCTCCAATTTTCCTTGAGCCGGCTCCAATCAACTAAATCTCTTTATATTACTCTCGGCACTTCATCATGTGAGTTCTCACCTGAAATTCTAGAGAGCAAAACTGACTTGGGGCTTCATCTTGTTTTGAGCATTTCAATTGAAAGTGAGCTGAAATGAAGAACACTCGAGGGACCAAAGAAAGATATTTTTCTGAGTGTTTAATCTGCCAAGAGAGATGAATTTGATCTGCGTATAGCTTTAGCATGCGTGTACAGTTTGAAGATGAATAATAATGCTGATTGGTGCTGATTTTCTTGTGAAAAGAGAGGCTGAGGTGATTCAAATTTTGCTGTGGACACTTTTAAAGGTTGAACAAGGTCTGAGCACACATAACTTGGTGATATACAACTGTTGGAGGGGCTTAGGACTACATATTGCAGCTGGTATTAATTTCTATATCTCAAACCTCAAGCTTTGGTTATTTTTTGGTTTAAGTTTCTGGAGCTGAGTATATATTGTCATAATCTTGCTATGCTATGATTTTTAAACATCTAAGCATGATTAAAATGTTATTTTAAGGCTATCAATGTTGAGTTTTGAACTAAGGAGTGACCTACACTAGTTTTGTACCTTGAACCACACATGTTTTAGCTTATAGTAGTTTTGCAAGGCTGGTTTGGATGTTGAAAATGCATTATATTACTGTGATTGTTGTGCTACTCATTTGAGCATGAATATATAGTTAATATACACTTGAGAGAACCATAATCCAAAATTTTGAAGTGGTGAAAAACCAAAAATACCCTTATAACAGTGCTGCAGCAAAAATCTGGTATATATGTTGATTTTGGGCTTTATAGTGATGAAACCTTGCTATAATCTGAGAGGCAATGATGTGAGCAAGTGTTATATGATGAAATTCAGCTGTGGGAGCTAAATTCAAGAAGGACCAGCCACGAAATTATAGATTTGCCCTCTAAAACCTAAAGGTAACAGGTGCAGCAAATTCACCTGCTGCAAGCTGTTGTTTGCTGCCCTTTTTGTGCTATAAATTATTGATTCATTGATCCTAAATTATGTCCAAGCTTCAGTATAAGTGTATTTCATCTATGTCAAGCTGAGGGAACCTTTGACAAAAGAGAAGTTGACTATTTTACCCCTCAAACCATAAAGTTATAGGTGTAGCAAATTGCACCTACTGTGAGTTATTATTTTGTTATTTTATTAGCTGCAGTGTTAAGCCCTTGTTGATATAATTTGTCTTAGCTATAGAAAAATTTTAATAAATTATTTTCAAGCTGAGGGAGTCCTTGGCTGTTGAAGTGTTTGTGTCTTCTAAGGCAGTGCTTGATAAAACTGAGATTTGTGGTTTTTGGTTCTAATAGTGCTGCTGTGAGCTTAATATATATCATACCTTGCTATATAATTTGTTCTGAATTTATAAGCAAGTGTATTTGGCATATTGAAGACTGGGGGAGCAGTGTTTGGGTGGTCCTAGAGGCTAAATTACAAACTTACCCTTGAGAGGTGAAGTTGAGGGTTTTGAAGAAGAAAAGGCTATTGTGCACTTATTTTGAAATACATTGCTTCATTGTTCAATTAGTTGCATAATCTTTGAATAATATATGATGTAAATGGAAGCATATTGATAGGGGGAGATTATTAGTAATCTCTTGTGAATGAATATTGCATGTTTTACTAAGCTTCATTGACTTATCTTGAAATTGACAAGCATGCTACAAAATGACTTTTTGGTCATTAGATTCATTCCTATGAACTTTCATGACTTTGATGATATTTCCCTTTTTTTTTGAGGATATCAAATGTGAAGAAATATATTAGGATAGAAGTAGTCTTGAGTTCTAAAATTTGCCTCTAAAAGGTTGTTTGCCTTTAGGCTTATTCTAGTTTATGCTTCATTTTTGTTTCATGTTTGATTATGTATACTTTTGTATATGACATGAACCTTAAATGATGATTCGAACTCATGTTGTCAATGAAATTGGCCTCTTATGATATAATTGTTTATATGTTTCATCCTAAAACATATTATAGTAACAACTACTACTGCCAATTCTTGATTATCATTACGTCACCATGTCAATTCTCTATGCTAAATGATCAATACTAAAAGAAGATGCTTTGACCTCCCACCTTTTTGAGATGCTAAAGGGGGAGAGAAATGTGATGTGTTAAATGATCTAAAATGATTTATGATATATCAAGCATGCCATTTTATAATGATATATCAAGCATGCCATTTTATAGTGATATATCAAGCATGCCATGTTCAATGAATGCACTTTGATAGGGGGAGCGTTTTTCAAATGCTACTCCATTTGCTTATGAACACATCAATGTTTTGTCATCATCAAAAAGGGGGAGATTGTTGACCTTAAGGATTTCATCCAATGACAATCTAGGTGTTTTGATGATAACAAACCATTAATGGTGTTTAAGGACTAATGTTTACATTGAGTGTTATATAGATTATTCACATTCAAAGAATGACCTCAATAAAGCACCAAAGATCATTCAAAGTATTCCATTATTCAAGATCACATAAAGGAAAGAAATGGATACAATGAAGACATGAAGTTGCAAGGAACAAAATGCAATGTCCAAAGGTAGCTTGGACTTCAATGAGCAAGAAAGCAACTCAAAGGAAGAAAGAAAGCAATACTACCTCAAGCCTAAACGATCATGGACAATGCATGAAGAAAAGGGGTAGATAGGATGGTGAGTGTTTTGGATTCAATGTCAAAGTATTTATGAATCCATTTGAAGCTCATCTCTATAGGATCATGCATATTATCATCATTCACATATTCTTATATCCTTAGTAATAGACTTTGCACTTCATTCATAGATATTGTCATATGAAGTCTTTGCTAAGAAAGGGTTAGTTCAAGCTTGTATAAGCTTTGAAAGAACTCACAACTTAAGTTAGAAATGCTAGGACCATGCACATTAATCATAAGATTTACTTTGGTGTCTAGAAAGAAAAGGAAAAGGCATTGAACTTAATATTTCAACTTTAAAGCCTTTGTTGCCATAATTTGGTAAATGACTCTAGGACACAATGCACTTGAAATTTATCATCTCCATATGTCCCTAGACTCTTAGAAATAGGTCTTAAACTAAATTGAACCATTCATCAAAGTCCTAGGTGCTAAAAAGATGGTTATCTCAAAAGAAGCAATTTACAGCCCAAAAGAATTTCAGACCAGCCTATACTAAAACTACTTTAACTATTTTTGTAGTTGGAGTTTTTAAGTAAGTCTAGGTGCATTATAAAGCTGACTTCGAGCTCTTGATTTTAGACTCAAATTTCACCTCATTTGGAGTTTCATGGACTGAGTTATATCCATTTGAAGTCATGCTATTTTCTGTCCAATTCAAAATTAGAAGCAGCTCATTTCTGTCAATTGGAGCCGCCTCCCATTTTATAGGAGCCGGCTCTTGGGACTCTAGTAGGCGTAGAACCCATTTTTTCATATAGGAGCCACCTCCCAAATATAGGAGCCTGCTCTTTGCACTCCAGTAGCCAAAACTTATGTCGTAGAATGCATTTCATGGATTAGAGCCGCCTCCCAGTTATTGGAGCCACCTCCCATTTATTGGAGCCTCCTCCAATTATTTAAAGAGCCGACTCTTCTAAGGAATTTGAATCTCCAACGGCTGTTTTGACCATTTGTCTTCATGGGACTTTACATTCTTGCCCCCAAACGGCTATAATCTTCAATGGGGCTATAAATACATAATGTTTGGACATTGTAGAAAAAATGCAAGAGAGCCAATACTTGAGAGACCTTATTAGGCATTAAAGAGAGCTTTTGTTCTCACATTTTCTCTTCATCTCTCTCATTCATTTATATACTTACTTGAGAGATTCAACCAAGGATTCAAAGAGCTTTTGCTCTATTCCATACTTAAAAGATCCTATTGAGTTTTAAGAGCTTTTATTCTTCACTTACATCATCTTCTCTCAATCATTTCATTCATAGAGTTTGAGCTTCACTTATATTCATCAATACTCTAGTTGTGAGATAAAATTTGTACATCTATCTTTGAGAGATTTCTTGTACTTCTTGTATGTGTTACTATCTATTGTAAGGGTTGGTTTGACCCACCGGGTTGGTGTGACCCAAAGGAAGACTAAGGGAAGGTTGTTCTCTTAGCAAGCTAAAGCAAGGAGTTGCTTCATGTAAAGGTTTGCTCTCCACCCGTAAAGAGAAGCCATAGTGGATTGGGAAGTCTCAAGAGGAGTCTTGAGCCGAGGAGTAGGAGTTTCTGAACCTCGCTAAAATCGCCGAGTCATTGTTTGCAATTTCTCTTCCCTATCTCTTTTACTTTTATGCGTTGATTTGATTATCTAGTTCATTTGGTTATTGCATAATTATTTTAAGAGGCTAGATAGTAATCATATTTATAAATTGCCAAAAAAAAAAAAAAAAAAAAACCCCCCCTATAGAGTCAATCCTTGGGCAACAGATCTATTGCGAGTTACTCAAACTAATTTTGTTATATGTTAATATTTAGTGGGTATATGTCTCCTGAATATGCAATGCAAGATCTTTTCTCCATAAAATCTGATGTGTTTAGCTTCGGAGTATTGTTGCTTGAGATTGTGAGTGGGAAGAAAAATACTATTTTTCATCACAATGACTCTCTTCACCTCCTTGGATATGTAAGCAGCTAACATACCTGTCCTTTTCTTTTTCTTTTAACTTCTTTTATGTATCAAAATTGATGATTTAAGATTTAACTGTACAAGGTGTTTATAAATTATATAATTGAATGTTTCAGGCATGGGAGTTGCATAGTGCTGATAGAGGGATGGAGTTGATGGACCCAATATTGGGTAATGCTGCCTCTGCTACTACATTCTTGAGATATATTAACATAGGTCTTCTATGTGTCCAAGGAAATGCTCAAGACCGACCTACCATATCTGACGTTGTCTCAATGCTTAGCAATGAATATTCAGTTCTACCACTAACCAAGGAACCTGCATTTTTTACTTGCCGAAGTGTGATGAACACAAATCCGTCACTTAGTAATGTTGAAAACTGTTCAGTAAATAATGTAACACTTTCAATTATTGAGGCCAGATGACAATCTCATATCATATTCTAAGACATTTTTTTTTTTTTTTCAAATAGAAATCTTCATCTGTTTGATTGTTCTCTTAGATTTGATATACTGTATCTCTGTATGCTTTGTTTATTATTTATTTTCGGAGTGTGATATTGATTCTTTTATAGTTTTATCTAGCTATAGCAGCTTTTAAAAGCTATCCCTAGGATTTGCTTGCTTTGAAAGTATTTGAAATTGGAAAGTTTAGATGTCATGTTGGTCACCACCACAGGCCCATCTGAATGTCTAATTGATGCCTCCCCACACATTACACCCAAACCTCTCCAATTTTTCTTCCTATATTACAAGAAAAGGTCTCTATAATATGAAGAAATTAAAGAAAAATATTCTATTTTTAAACTATTTAAAGTCAAGGTTCCATCTTCTTTTTTTTTTTTTTTTTTTGGACAAGTAATCCGTTCATAGACTTGTAAACTCTCCTAAGCCACAGGTATTGAGTATGATTCAACTCAACTAGTCTGTAAGACTTCAAGGTTCCATCTTGGCAACGCATATTTTAACCACTGAAAAGTAGAGCTGTAAGGCCTGAATCTTCTTCTAAAATTCTAACACGAAAATCAAGTACTCGTACTTAAGAAAGGTCCTCTCAATGCTCTTAACACCCCCCACACACCTGATATAGATCGAATTGTCTCACAACGTTCAAAATGTAATGGTTATGATGTGTAAAAGATAAAAATAAAAATAAAATAAATAAAAAATTTAGATTTTTTTGTAGTGGGACCCACCACAACTTATCTTCATTTTGTGGTCACTTCTCTCTCTCCCGATCTGGTTCTCTCTCCCTCCATTATATTTTCTTGTTTCTTTTTTCTTTGCAAAATTTAAGCTTTAATTTCTCTTTCAATTCTTGGAGTTTTGGGGTGCCGTTTGCGGCAAATCGAAGAGCTTGGTGAGATATTCAAGTTGATGTAAACAATTTCATCTTTTAGCCACTCTAAGAATTCCGAAAATTTAAACCCATTTGAGGGTTTTCTATAAAATTGAGGTAGGAGTGTTCTAATACCCATTTCTTTGAGCTTTGTGAGTAAATCTCCTTTAATTCATACACAAGCATGCTTATATTGTGTTAAATTCTTGAGATGAAATTTATATATTGCATACATGAATTTTTTTTATGTTGTAGAAAGTGTGTGATTATGTGATAACCGGCTTGCTAAGATGATACATGCTTAAATGATATTAATTTAAGCCTTATGTATTTAAGTTGTTGGATTTGCAAATTGAAAGTATGAAAAATGCTATGAATTAGAAATATGAGAATGTGATATTGTACGAAAATTTATATTTTAAACATGTCTAATTGACGTCAACGATATGTACGAAATTTTTATATTCTCATAGCATTGAAAGAATTGCATAATTCATGCATTACCATTGGGAAAGTAAAGGGAAAAGTTTATTTTAAAAATAAATGAAATTATTTTTAGGAAAATATTTTCAAAGGTGTTTGCGAAAACCGAACGCCTAGGAAGTGCCTAGTGGTCCGTGTAATGGTAAAATATATGTTTCATGTGACATTTAAGATATAACAAACCTTATACTAATATGTCATGAGATAATTATCAATATGCTAAAAAATCATTAATTAAATATGCAATTCTATATTTAATTAAATATGCAAGATAAAGTAATAACATAATAATAATAAATAAAGAACATGGATCGAGGCTAGTATTGGATACTATGTCCTTAAGATAGATTCGCCCCTCTATGGTGCTTACGGACTCAGTGGCGTCTATCTCCCAGGATACAATGGTCTACATCCACCAGTAGCAGCACTACAAACTCGTGGATACGACGAACCTCCTCCGTGTAATACTCTTTCTGACTCAAAAATGCATCTATACTATATAAATGCTGAATTGTGTGTAATCTGAACCAAATGGTTCGGACCAATCTTAATATGGCTCAATGAAATTGAATTACGGTCTAAGTGGTTTAGACCACTTAACCTATGGTTTGAACCCACTTGGGTTGGGTTCAAGTCTAGAGAGGGAGATAGAAGAAAATGAAAAATGAACGATTTGCAAATGATCCAAAGGGGGATATTTATAGAAACAGAAATGTCTTTTCGGATTGGGTGTATCTGTTCATTATTGGACACAACCATTGCAATAGGTTGCAATGGTTCACATGGTGTCTGTTCATCACTAGACAGATCTATCCCAATAGGTTGCAATGGTTCACATGGTGTCTGTTCACCAATAGACACATCCATTCCAATAGGTTGCAATGTGCCTTTTCGAGTGGGTGCAACCATGGGTGATGATAGTTCGGAAAAAGGTGTAACCCTTTGAAAAAACTAAAAAGTGGTTTTTTTTTAATTTAAAAGGTGTAACCCTTTAGAAAAACTAAAATATGGTTTTTTTTAATTTAAAAGGTGTAACCTTTTAAAAAAACTAAAAAGTAGTTTTTTTAATTTAAAAGGTGTAACCTTTTAGAAAAACTAAAAAGTAGTTTTTTAATTCAAAAAAAAAAAAACCAACCACAAAAAAAAAAAAACCCACCTATTTGTGAAACCCATTTAAATAAGCCCCGCTCAAAATTAGGCCTAATCCAAAATTCCAAAAAAGAATAATCTGGATTTTACGATTAGGCCCAAACCCAAGCCCAAATCTTAAACTCAGCTTATTTAAATTTCAATTTGTTTTAACATTTTTTCCATGTGGAACAAACACTTCCCATATTTTGCATACCCATTTAGGCTTATCAAAATACCATACTTTGGAACTAATTTCTCATTCACCCGGAAACGGATTTAAGAAAGTAAATATACCACGTTCATCTCCTTGCGGAGAGAAACACGCTCGTCTAGAGATCTGCAAATTATTATTAGCAAAATCTATTCCAAATCTCATCCAAAGTTTATGTTTTTAATGCCCCCGTTTCTAATAATCCCCCACATGAATGGAAATTTGCGTAAAATGCAAAAGATGATTATGTAGACACTAGAGAGAGTATAGTCGAAAAGTTACTGCATCAGGATAGGTAGCTTTTGGCTTTGAACCTTCCCTAGTGTATTGTTATCGGATTTACTGGCTAACTAGTGAATGCGATGTCTTGAACTGTTCAGTCGTTTGTGTAAACTAAGACAATAACAAACACACAATACCTTTCCTCACAAAGTTGGTTCTCATAGTTATGTTCATTTTGGCCCTAAACAACTCCTAGTATTCAATAAGTGCTCCAGAAAACTTAGCCTTTATAGTTCTCATAGAAGCGGCCCCACTTCACACTCATATAGGTGACTTCTTATTAAGAGTATCCTACCATATCCCACTTGAATTTTCAAGGTATAAGAATCATTAAAAACGTAGCTTATCTTAATCCTCGTTCTAGGTAGCACTATCTCATCATAGAAATGGGCAGAAGATTTATATCTTCCCAGTGCTTCTGGTGAGCCATTCAGAATTTCTATTGTCCCTTTGAACCTAGATATTAGGATCTCCAATCAACTAGGTTGGGTTTCCATTAAGATAACTCGTTAGCTTTCGGCTTTTAATCCCATTCCCCTCGATGAACTATACAATTGCTCTCCAGTAGAACCCTCAATTTTATATGTGGCCACAAGGTTGTGTTTAGAAATATTACACTTTGCAGAGATTTCTCCAGGTGAGAGCAACTGTATACTTTGTACCCTAAAATTGCTTATTGTTAGCAATATCATTTTTTTTAGTGGCACAGGTGTAAACTTACTTTGAATTGTCCCCTAGGTGAAGTCTATTGACTTCCCTATTTGATTTATTCAAAGTTTCTAACTTTGAGTTATATTAAGAACATAGAACTACACCTTTAATATAAAAGACATATCCACTATTGGATTTGAAGTCTTTAATATCCCATATCCAGATTGCATCACTGTTACACCTCCAATTTAGTTAGATACCTCATTCTATGCAATATTGGATTTAGGTTGTATCTCAACTACCCAATTTATTGTTTTTCAGTGATCCGATCCTGGATTGAAAATGTGCAATTAAACACAATTATTAAGCTGCCTTGCAATCTCAACCAATGATATACTTTGGCTAGTATTTATATTTGAGATTTACATATACAAAAGTTAGCTAGGCTTTTGTTATCATAACTAGTATTATCTCAATCTCAATCTATTGAGAATATACTATGTTGTTAGATGTTAAATCTTTCATATCAAATATACTAATTAGTATATCATTAATTTTTTTTAGGCATACAATGACTTATACATCACATTTATGTCATTGTCTTGGTACTAGCTTTAATCCACTCAAGGACTTATAAGCTTGCACACTTTACTCTTCAACTAGAAAAAATAACTCAGCTCTTCCGCTGGAAAAAGAACTTTTCTAGTTGTTCCATAATATTTTCCTTATAGGAAACAACATGCACTATTGTTATAATACTATAAATGATTTTTGGTTCTATCCAAAATTTCTTAGGATTAAGAACCCTACATTTATAAGTATTTCTTATTTGGTGAGATAACTCATAGCAAATTTTATCTATGGACAATATTCCCCCACAACTTTGGGATAATCCTGAAATTTTATATATGATATATTTCTTATGGTTTTTCAACTCTTGAAATACCATATATTAAATATTTCACCCCATCTACCTTTCCAAGGTTCTATATTCGTTTTTCAACAAACATGTCTAACAGTCTCTAGTGCATATGCATTCACTTTATCTTTAGCTTGTTTTTATAATATGTCACTGACGTTACTATGAATTAATGCTAGAGATATGGGCTTTAATTAATATTTGCTTCTACATCTCTTGTATTTATGAATTGAGTTATTCATGTTAAGTTAGTCATATTAACATGTTATAACCTTTCATGTGTCACACATCACATAACTCAATCATTTAAGCAAATAATTATCTTATTATTTAAGTTTTGGATACAATCACCACAGAGTGAGCACTCACTTCTCAAGTATTATTACACACTCTTCTCATATCTCACTACTAAGTTATAATGAGCACTCACTTTTCAGTTATTACTGCT